TTTTTGAGTAGTTCAGCTACTTTGCCCTTAGGACAGCTCCTGACATTAACATTCCAGCTTCCACAAATTCCTTGCAGGGTGGAGGGACCTTTGTACCAGCCAGGAGGAGACAGGGGTAGGCAGGAAACAAACTGATCTTTCTCCACAGGGAACACAAGGGCAAGCACTCACCGGGTGCCGCAGACGGCAGAGCCAATTCTTCCAGAGCAGAGCTCGGAACTGGCGCCCTGTGTGCCCCATGCTAGCTGTGTCCTGTCTCTGATTTCAGTGAGGAAGTCAGCATGAAGAAAGGTGCTTATATCTACTGGTCTCAAGCCATGGCATGTTGTGCTATTAGTCAATTTAACAAAAGTGAGTGATGTAAGAGAGATTACTGGTAACTGGATAAAGCAGGAATCAAATGTTTTCGCTTTTGCACTTGTTGAGAAATCTGATCTTTTCTCTAGCTGTTCAGTATGAGACTGAGATGAGGTACAGGATGATGCCTTTGGGTCCCTTTAATTCACACTTGCTTTCATTCTTCAAGAATACTCACAGCCAATGCCTGTACTGAAAAATGATGCTCAAGTTAACATTTAACCTCCCTAGTCTCTTGATGCTAATTGGGTAGAATTCTTCCCCTTCCTCCTGGATCATCAGCAATCATATGAATTATCTCTGACAATTGGCCGCATGGTAAGGAACAGGAAGGAAGAAGAGGGAAGCAGAATTGATCTCTGGGTTGATTAGGGCAGGGGAGGGGAGGATAGTTCATGACCCACTCTTTTACTTGCTGGACCCCACTTAATGCCATCTCTTACCCATTTCTCCCAAAACATTGGGCTTCATGTTTTGGCGAGCAGGGCAAAGTGATGCTAGCAGAGCAGAGAGTTTAATCTGCTCTGACTTTAACCCTGGTTCTGTGAGTAAACCATGTAAGGTCAAGGGTAAGGACAAACAACAGCCACAGGAAATTCTCTTCACTTTCCCTTTTTTAGGCTATTGTTGCTGCTTCAAAGGATTCTAAGCTGAGGGAAGAAAAAGAGGGTGGTAATAGGCAAAGCAGCATGGCAGGAGTTCTCTTTGAGTGTGACAGGTGCCAAGTGGCTCTGGGGAAAGGGGATGGTATCAGTAGGCTGGCTGTGGGGAATGGCGAGCCTATCCGATACTTGTATTATTTTTAAAAAACAGACATTAGGGACTCAGCTGGCAGCTGGTTGCTCCTTCCTCCTAAGGCCCTCCTGATTTCCTGTTGCCCCCATTGTGGTAATAGTTGAGGCATCTTGACCCTGTGGTCTTTCATTTCATAAAGCAATTTCTTGAAACTAGGCTCACTCTTATAAATGGGTTTTGCAAAAGGAAACAGGAATTGACTCAATTTTTCTGGAAAGTTATTTTTTTAAAAAGAACAACATTTAAAAAGAAAAAATTGTTACATACATTGCAGCAATAGAGTGAAGACCATTATTTGGTGGGTCAGCGCCCATTACACACATGTGGTTTGCCTGGTTCCCACACAACACCTTCCCAAGGCTTTTACCTCCCCAAAGGCCTATCATTGCCAGCCAAGTATTGCTGCCTTGGTTTTCTTTGTAGATAACATTTATAACAACATCTGGCATTACAAGAGATTTTCGTTATTTTAAAATGCTCCTGTATAAGGAAAAGCCCTTAATCATGAAGTTTTCCCATTGTATTTCATGTTGTTAGCTGACGAGGAATTGGTCCTCAGTGGCCCAATGCACAACAGAACAAAATGCTAGCCAGTAGTGTGCCATCTCCATGATTATTTGTGGATCAGACCACTGTGGTCCATAAGATTTCTATTGGCTGGTTTTTGGAAGTAGATCACAAGGCCTTTTATCCTATTCTGTCTTAGTCTGGAAGATCCACTGAAGTCTGTTCAGCACCCTAACCACACACAAACCTTTAGTAACAGACTGGTGGTGGCTACACATAGGTGCATTGGCCAGGAATCAAACCCAGGTATCCCACATGGAAGGTGAGAATTTGATCACTGAACCACAACTGTTCCTCGTATTTCATAGCTGTGGTTTTGAGCACTCCTTTATGCCAAAGCAGTATATGGTATTTTCTTTTATTTCATCCATGGCTTTCACTGAACAATTCCATGAATTTAGTATTCATATCACAAGTGTACAAGTTAGGATGGGGATAACACCACCGGTGGTTTTCCAATAGTCAAGTAAGTTAATTTTACCACTCATCTCCTCTCCACCATTTAGCTAAGCTCAGATCAATCCAAGTGTATGATGGTGCCCAATGAGCATGCATTCTTTAACTTGGCAACCTTGCCTACACTTGTACTTCATGCTGTCTTTATCTCTTTATAAATTGCCATATTATCTTCATGGAAACAAGACAGTAGCTTCCCATATAGAAGAACCAGAGCAAAGATTTTCACCCCAATTGTCATACAGTTTTCTTGCATGACTATCACTGATCACTGGGGAACTTTGTTTCCAAAGTACTGTCCAGAGACCTTCCCTCAGTGTTCTTACTGATATGCTGCAGTCACCTTCCCCAGTAAGCTACCTGCTAAGCCCACCTCTCTCTCTTCTCTCAGTTGCCTATCTGGAAGACCACTTCTTACACGTCTCTGTATTTAGTGGCCAACATATACAGTGGGAAGCATTGAAAATCCAAGGGTAACCATGGCAATTAGAGGAAAAAGCCCTCAAGGCCAGCTTCCTCATTCCTTCTTCTATTACACATATACAAAAGCAAAGCTTTGCTCCTTCAAAGTTCAGGAATTAGAAAGTGAGAAATTAACTGTTAAACCTATGTCACAAAGAAAGCCCAGGAAGAAAAGGAAGGCTTACAATGGGGGCCTGGGAACACAACTTGCATTTGTGTACACAAGAAGAGTCTGTCTAAGGAATTCAGGGTTGATACTTGCACCTCACCTAGATCTTAGATTTTGAAGACAAAGGAAATTTATTTCGCCTTGTAAAACATTGAATGAGAAAATAATGGAATTATTAAGAAGAGTCTGGGTGAAAGAATCCTGAGAATAAAGTCTTGGAGATCATCTCTAAAGCTAAAGTTTCCCCTAAGAGGAACTAGTGGCTTTATATTCTTTACCAGTAAACGAATTGGCATCAAACTTGGATTCCTTGTGACCCCATCAGTAAAACTGTGCTCCATAGAGTTTTCAATGGTTAGTTTTTGGGGAGCAGATCACTAGGCCTTTCTTCCAAGGTGCCTAGGGGTGAACTCAGACCTCTAATCTTTCAGTTAGTAGTCAATTACATTAACATTTGCACCACTCAAACCAAAAAGTCATGGCCATCAAGTCGATTCTGACTCGTAGCGACCCCCACTGGGTTTTCAAGTCTGTAGATCTTTACAGAAGTAGATTGCCCCATCTTCCTTCCATGGAGCAGCTAGTGGGTTTGAACTGCTGACCTTCCAGTTAGCAACCAAATAAATGCTTTATCCACTACGCCACCAAGAGATCCTTTGATTAAAAGGTCATGAATTCCTTGTGTGGGAAGGATTGTATGCCTCAGGTATCAACCATTGCAATCCAGTCCATGTCCACTGGTACTTTGTCAGAAGACATATCAGTTTATAAAAGTAATATTTGGCTTTATAGTTGATAAAAAGATGTTCTCTTATTGTCTTCTTTCTTTCACTCATCTCACCCCTATCCAATCCTTTTACCCTACTGCCAATCTGCTTTACTGATGGTTGACCTTTGGCAAACTGTTTCCTCCCTCTGTTCTCACCTCCTCTTTTTGGAAGTAGTCATGCTTACTAAAAAGTTTACGATAAGTATTCAATGAGATAATATTGGAAAAATATGTAACCCAGTGGCCAGCACATATTAAGCCTCAAAATATTTTAGTTATGTTTTCAGCCCACTAAAATACAGACAACTTTTAATGATATCTGTTATGATATGATACCTGTCATTTGTACTATGGTTTTGTCACAGAGCAAAATGGAAGTCTAGTTGAAATTGAAAATAAAGAGCTTTTATCATGGGGCAAGGCAATTTGCAAATTGGTGATTACAAAGTCCAGTGGATTCTGAACTAAGTGATCCAAGGAGGAGACAATTCAGAGAGTTTATATATGAAAACCTAAGGAAATTCAGTAAAAATTCAGTGATTGGTTGACATTTAGGTAATGGTTACAAAACCAGGAGATGGTTCAACAACATTAAATGCAATATGTATTTATTCCAGGGCCAGAGAGTCTAGAAGGAGATTGCATGCATTTCTAAAGCTCTTTTATAAAGTTACAAAGTAATCATTAAATTGTGGTCATCAATTCATCTGACCTCAAAATAATCACGAGACTCTCCTTCGTGACTACAGGGAGGACCTACGTAATTCTACCTAATTCTGAGTAAGCACCTGTTCTGAGCATTGTTTTGGACCTGGCTTCCCAGGCAGCAAACAAAACCTGTAAGCAAAAAAAATTACATTGTTTTACCAAGTAATTTTCTCAAGGTACAGAGAAGACTTACAGGAATGGCAGGCTATATTCCTGATGCAGAAGTTATTTTTGATTCAAAATGAAGTTTTAGCCTCAGACCTTAGCATATATGTCATTTTATATTGGGAGTCCTAAGCTAATTTGAGGTGTTCTACTCAATGGGAATGTCTCTATTTATTACTTACAGTGGTTGGATGGGAAAAGAAGTAAAAGTGCATGGAGACAGAACACATGTAGGGGAAAGAAGTAGAAAAGAAAGACTGCTTCCTTAATAAGGAGGAATGAAGAACACAGGCACTCAGAGTGCAGAAAGCCAACTTCATTTCCTTCCCATCCAAACATAAGTCTAGCACAGCTTGGATGGAATAAGTTTCCAACATAAATTGCTTCAGTTAGAGCTGAATAGTTCCCAAAGAGGCAACCAAACTGCCAGATTAACATGTAGGAGATTATCATACACACACTTGACTGATTCCTTCGAAGGGTTATAGTAATGTACTTTAAAAGCTGTACTGTAAATTACTCAAGGTTTTCAGGTAAAATTGCCTCTTTGTCTCTATTAAAGAACTTATTAAAAATAGGATAAGCAATTAGAAGTTTCATAGTTTAAATAACTTTCACAACCGAAATGTTTCTTATTGAATTGTGATTTATATATCTTAGAAACTAATATCCTTATGGGTAATTTAAATAGCTTACTTTTCTCTGATACTGAAATTCTATCTTGCTAATTTTAATAATTTCTCATGAACCTGAATTCATTCTCTTCTTGCACTAATAGAAAAATATCACTCC